TGCAGTGAGCGCGGAAAGCGGTGACACGCGGGGAAGGTCCCTTGCCCTTGTGTGCGGCCTGTGCTCCAGGGGGAGGGGCAGGCCGTGTACAGAAGGACGAGATGAACAGGCTGGTCGCAGGCGGTCAGTGCTGGGAATTCACCAGGGTGACATGGTTGACAGAGGGCGGGGAATGAGGACGGCCTCGGGGGTGGCGTTGGAGACCCAGAGGTGAGGCAGAGCAGCCCGGGGACAGCATGGGGCGGGGGCGGCACGTGCACCGGCCCCGAGGCTGGCAGGCCAGGCAGTGGACTGGGGCGGTTCCGGTGGGTCGGGCGCAGGTGGAGGCCGGCGGCTCCAGGCCCAGGGGCCAGCGCATGTGCCCTTGTTCCTGCGCAGGTTGGGGCAGGGAGTGCCGTGACCTGTTTCTGCGTGAAGTGTCTCTGGCTGCTCCCCGGAGAGCTGAGGGACTTCGGGTGCTCACGCCAGTTTTGTTGGCATTAGCCACTTCTGCCCCGCAGTCAGCTGCTCCTGGCCGCGGCTGCGGGTCCTCTCACACCGCTGACCGGGCGCCTTTGACACACATGCACCTGCGTCGTGCGTGCGTGAATCGGGCCTCTGGCCTTTGGAAATTATGCCCTGACACTGGGGCGGGGGGGACTCGTGTGTGGGACCCTTGCGCTGGCAAGTCACCCAGCACTCTGTCAGAGGCGTCAGAGCAAAGGCTGGTCCCGCGCAGGTTCCTCTCGGACACCTGCTGACCGTTTTAACAGCAGCTGGGCTGTTGCCGCTGGGGGGCCCTGGCTCTCCACACTGTTGCGGTGGGCATAGGCAGTGGCTACACACCTGGGGACACCAAGGTTTCTTTTCTCTTCGTTTTTAAGCCCCAGCCCTGTGGCATTTCAAAGGGCAGGGTCCCCTTACTGGATGCGGGCGGGGGGCGGGGCGGGCGATGGAGCTTTGGAGGCTGGACCCCAAGGTGGTGGCCGCGGTCAGAACACTATCGTCCCCGGAGCCTGCTGGGCAGAGGCCAGTGGATGCAGGAGGGATGCCTGGGACAGCAGAGTGGAGGTGGCCCGTAGGCAGGTGACGCGTACAGTCTGGGCTGGGCTGGGGCGTGGGAGAGAGGTCAGGGCATTGACACAACGGGCCAGCCACCTCCACCCTGCTCTGACCCCCGGGGCCTTCGGACGATGGGGGCAGTTGTTGCCATGCGAAAGATTGGCACCCAGGCCCCCCAAAAGAGCCTCAGACCCCAGCGAGCGGCTAGACACTGCCGCCAGATGGGCGTCCTTACCTTGTCCCACACTGCCTGCCGTCTGTCTGCGGTGTGGATGGGGCTGCGGAGCTGGCACAGACGGGCCGCTCAGGGGGACCGAGCTAGGCCAGTGGTCGAGAGGGCCTCCCAGAGGGAAGTGGCGTTTGCACAGCGGCCCAGCATACACGTGGGATGCGCTCAGTGACGGGGCAAGGCGGGCCCTGGCCGAGGCCACGAGATGCCAGGACGTGACCTAACCAAGTGGAGGGCCATGCAGTGGCCACCGGGGGTGATGGGGGTGGGACGCGGAGAGGCTGGAGGACGCAGTGAGGGCTCATCTGGACTGCGGCTGGTTAAGACCAGGGGGACTCACTGGGGTCTCTTTAGGGTGAAGGGTGGTGAGTGCACACCGACCCCCGCCAGGAGGGCTCCAGGCGTGGCGTGTGCTAGTGCCCACCCCCAGCCATGCCCGTCATGACCCGACTCACCTGCCGGGACCCGATCTCCCATTCCTCCCCCCAAGCATGTCCTTTGTCACACCAGCGTTCCACTGGGACAGTGATTGTCACGAACTGGGGAAGTGGGACGGGCCAGTTGGACGTGGGCCTCTGCAGGGAGACCAGTTGAAAAGCCACTTCGGTTAAGTGTGTCGCGAGTGCAGGGGGGTGGCCTCGCCCCCTGGCAGTCCCCCCTGCCCCCTGGTCGCCGTGGGGAACACACACAGCCCCAGGGCAGTCGTGGGAGGGGAGCGCCAGGTCCCCCCTCACTTGTCCTGTGGGGACTTCCGCTCAGTTTCCCACTGGAACAGCGGGAACAGGACGGGTCACGTCCTGGGTCGGACGAGAAGCTTGAATGGAGGAACGGGACCGGAGTGCCTTCTCAGTGCCGAGCCCTGGGCGACTTGCGAGGAGGTGACGGCAGTAGTCCTTGCAGGAGGACGGGGTGGCCTGGTGGCCAGGCGGGTCACAAGTGATGCAATGAGCAGGCACCGACTGCTCTTCTGTGTCCCCACCCCGTCCCACAGACACTGGCTGCGGCCAGTGCTGTGGGCCACAGCTCCTGCCCCCGGGGGTGGCCCGTGGCCTACGGTGTGGGGAACACGAGGGAGATTTGTTTCTCCAAAGAATGGATTTTCTATACATTTAGGAAGACAGAACGGCACGCAGAGGCTTTTGAAAGAAGCCGTTCGATGAAATGGTTGATTTATTCCGCACATGACGATCTGCGGGTTCGGGGGAGCAGGCTTCGCAGCAGTGTGGGGAGTGGACTGGGTTTGAAGAGAGGGTGTCCTTGTCTGGAGGTGGTGGGGTAAAGGGGAGAGAGCGTTCTGATGAGACCTCACTCCTGTTCCTGGTGTGTGCCGCGTGCCCGTGGAGGAGGGGGACAGGCCGTGGCACCTCCAGACAACTCTGAGCCTCCGGCGGATTCCTCACCTGGCTCCTCACCGTCCTGCCCATTTGGCCAGGCAGACGCCCCCAGCAGGTGACAGGGAAGTGTGTCAAGTGCAAGGTAAACTGACTTAGTTCGGATGGAGGCTGCGGGGGGCTTTTCTCCCCATTGTAACTGCCTGGGCAGGGGGTCAGGGACGGCCAAGGGCGTGGCCTTGTGCTGAAGCTGATGAGGAAAGCAGGTACTACCGGCTTGGGGAAGGGGTCCCAGTGAGGGAGAGCAGGTGCAGAGGCCCATGAAGACGGGGAGTGCAGTGAGGTGTCTGGCAGGTCCCCAGACACGGAGTGGCCTCGCCTGCAGGTGAGCATGTCTCGCCAAGGACTGAGCACCCTCCAGGTCCCCTTCCAGTGGAGTGGAGCGTCTCGAGGATGGCGTAGTATGTGTGGTGAAGACCAATAATGGGCTGTGAGGAGCGGCAGGTACTCAGGCCTCGGGGGATCTGAGGTCTGGCTGGAAATTCAGGGCCCTGTGAGAGTCCGTGGGCGGGGCTGGGGCTGGGGCTGGGGGGGGAGTGAAAGCCCCAGCTGCCTGACGCGGAGACTTGATCCTGTGGTCGCTGAGCGCTGGCAGGGTACGTGGCAGGGACGATGTGAGCAGAGCCGGCTGTGAGGGTCAGCGTCGTGGCGGCCCGGGTGCAGCGTCGGGAGGCCTTGCTTGCGCTGGGCGTTGGGGCCGAGACCCTGGCTCTTCGGAACCCGGGCGGCGTTTGGGGCACGGAGGCCCCGCAAGGCTGACGGCCCTTCCGACCGGCACATGCTGCCTTAGACTCGGGACAGCGACTAGAGCGGCCGTCGCCAGCGGGCTGAGGTCAGACTGTCCTGCAGCACGGCAGCCCCAGCCTCCGCACACCGGGAACTCCGGGAAGGGACATCTGGGGGGGAGCAAGTGGGCAGCGGCACAGATGCGGACGCAGTCGCCAGCAGCACCTGGAGACGAGACTGCCCGTCCACCCGCCCTACAAGTAACAAACACTCAGTAAGGAAAGTCTGAGACACAGAGCGCCGGCGCGTGCCACCCTACGAAGCAGTCCGCTGCCACATGCGAGCGCTTCGCTCACCTCCCGCTTCTGGCCGGCTCGGCACTCGCTGCAACCCAGCTCCTGGGCTGTTGGTCCTTGTCTTACACGCTCCTTCCGGGCAGTCGGGTGCTTTCACTCTGAGTGCGAATGGAAGTGTGTCATGGAAATTCGCAGTAAACAGTGAGGCCTGTGCTGCAAGCTGGGGAGAGGCAGCGAACAGGGACACTGCGGGATGGACGGGGTGGGAATCGAAGGTGACAGGCTGGGAAGGCGTCCGGCGGTCTGGAGCCGGCGCAGAGAAGGTGCCGCCAGACCACTGCCAGCTGCCCGCATGCACCCGTGCCGTCCGCTGTGTGGTCGCCGAGAGCAGTGGCTGTTGTCCCTCAGCCCGTGTGATTTGAGACTCCGGAGAGAGGTGGCCTGTGATTCAGGAGGGCCTGTGACATTTTCTTTCCATTTAAAATGGCCTCGGGACATGAATTGGTTCCACCAATGCTCATAAGTGATCATTCACTGTAAGACACCGCTTCGTTGTTTAAACTCGATCTTCTGTAGCACATACAGGTTGATTTTTTGATAATTACAGAAGAAAGGCACGTACTTTTAAACAAAAGTATATTAGGCAGAAAAATAGCAATTATTGAATTACTAACATATACAAGCCCTTGCGTCGTACAGTATCTAGCGATGGCCCCGTCTTCTCTCCCCTTCCAGGCGTGTTTTTAATATGAGCTCTGAAACTAGATCACAGCAGAACTCAGAGCAGACTCTTTACTTGACCCTGAGCAGAGGGACACGGGGCGGGGCGGGGTTACAGTGCTATCTCTACTTTCTTCACATGTCAGGGATTTTCTGCAACAAACTTTTAAAGACAGGAATATATATGTATTTAAAACTGCCCCCTTTCTACTCCCAAGAATGCCGACAGCATTCAAGGGGTCGTGGGAAATGCCTTGGGAGAGTTCTGGACACCCCCAGTGTCTGAGCTGAGGCCGGGTACAGGCTCTCATGTGAGTGAGCATGTGGGAATGTTCTAGCTAAATAGCCCTGCGGTGGGCCACGCCTGTGACCAGCCCTGCGTGCCCCGAGGAAGAGGCCGGGCTCCAGCTCTGGAGTGACCGCAGCTCAGCAAACCCAGTTGCTGTGTCATCAGTGGTGGAGACACAGCCGTCCCGCTGGCTGAATTTCTTTCCTCTTCCTGACTTGACAGGAATGTCCTTGCGTGAAGGGGCCTAACGATGACTCGAGGGAGGCGTGGCGCGGGGCCTTGGGGGCTGGGCAGGGGTGGGGGCCGGTCAGCTGGGCGGCCCCCGCTCTGAAGGTCTCACCCCTGCTTTTCAGACTGGGCCGCCGCCATCCGGGTCGCCGCCCTGGACTGCGCGGAGGAGAGGAACCGCGAGGTGTGCAGCGCCTACGACATCCACTTCTACCCCAGCTTCCGGGTGAGCCGGCCGCTCGGGGCTCCTTCCTCCGCTCAGGGCCTCCGCCTGCAGCTCAGGGCTCGCTTCCTGAAACGTGGCGGGAGCTCCTGTTTGCGGGGGTCGCCTCCTTCGTCCGCGTCCCTGTGGGAGGTCTGCGCCCCACGCGCAGGGGGCGGGGGCGGTCGGGGCTGCGGTTAGAGCCGCGTCCTTGGCCTCGTGCACCGCGTCTGCTGCTCTGCCCGGTGCCCGCGCCGCCCGTGCGTGGCCCCGCGGACGGCTTCGTCTCCGCTTCTTCCACTGGGGGTGGAGGGTAAACCGCAACCTGGAGGTGAAGAGGCGCATGCTCCGCCCGCGATGCGCGCGCGTGGTTGCGGTGACACGCGTGCGCAGGAGCGCATCGCCGTGACACACGGCTCAAGGAAAGGGGACCCCTTCGCTCTCAGCCCTACAGCCGGCGTGCTGTGCGGCGCAGCGTCCCCTCGTCCTATTCCGCTGCGCGGAGCCGGGTGTTGACTGTCCTTGCTGCAGCCGTGCACCTGTGGCTTGGACGGACCGCGCTCGCTGGCCAGCCTGCTGCCCCGCTCCTTCTGGGGAGTCCTGTTACTATCCTCTTGCTTGTCGGGTGTGATGGCGCCCGTGCACCCCGTTTTGTTTGTGCTCAACTTACACACAGGGCGCCGTGCTACATGGAAGCGCTGGCCGCCTCTCTCACTAGGAAGAGTGGCTGCCGCTGACAGTCACCCGCTGTGCAGCAGTAGCACAGTTCGCTGTCCCCTCCATTGTTGGCACTGGCTGTTGAGGCTCGGGCTGCTGTGAAGACGCTGGTCCGTGTCCCTGTTGTAGGTGGCAGGAGCCCCTGTGGGCACGGGCCTGGAGTGCAGTTGCTGCGGGGAAGTACACGGACACATTGCCGGCTGA